TCTCACTTTGATCTCTTCTCTACTCATTCATTTCTCCTTTCACTATATTCATCTCTCCTCTCTCCTCTTTCCTCCTCTCTGCTTTATCCTCTTTCCTATCCCTCTACTCATTCATTTCTCCTCTCTCTTCACTCATCTCTTCTCTCTCCTCTCCTGTTTCCTCGGTCAGCTCAACCTTCTCCTCTTTTTTTTCCTCTGCCTGTCATTCGTCCACTTTTCCTTCAGCATTCGACTTTGTCTGCGACCACGCGTCTCGTGGACGGCCTCCTCGAGGCCGGCTACGCTCAACTGACTTTGCCGGTGCTGGCTTTGCAGGAAGTCTTGACGCGTGCCTCGTTCTGGTCGTGCGACTCGGACGGCTCGAGCCCGCCACCGGCAGCTGAGCATAGTTGGCCGGGCACCGTCTGCCCAGCCACAAATCTGCTCGTCAGACTGAAGTACGAGGCAACCTGTTTTATGCCTTAAAACACGCATAGTTACACAAATCGCGTCCGCTTCGTCCGCTCCCTCTTGACGAGGCAAGCGGTTTGAGGACCGCTTCCTGAACCACTTCGGTCTGACGTCATGCAACAGAAATCCTTGTTACAAATGATCTCATTTTTATTCTCCTCTTTTTTCTTTTCCTTTCAATTTTCGTCATTTCTCTTCTCTTCTCTCCCTTCCTCTTTTCTTTGAAGGAGTTATCCTCTTTATGCTTCTTTTTTCTTCTTTTTTCTTTTTTTTACTAGCTACTCCTCTATATTTTGTTGCCGTCTATACTCTTTTTTCTATGCATTTTAAAGGATTATAATCTCAGTCACCTTTTATTCCGTTTTCTTTTTTTGTATATTTTTTCTACTTTTCTTCATTTAACACTTATTCACTCCATTTCCTTTCCTTTTCTTCTTTGTAAATCTCTTATTTCCTCTTCTTTTAGCTTTTCTTTTTGTTTTTATCTCTTTTTCTTCTTTTATTTTCTATTTTATTTTCTCTTTTACTTTTAATTTCTTCCCTTTTCTTCCGTTCTCTTTTTGCTAAAGGAGTATGCAGGTGTGCTGCATGCTGGGACTGGCAAAAGGCATCACCTTCCATCAGCAAGCGCTGGAGACTTTAACGCCAAACGAGGAACAGATCTCCGAGTAAGTTGTACGCCACACTTTCAACCTTTCTCTATCGAACAACCCGTTTGACAAGTGAGTTGCACTAGTCTCATCTTCAGATGGGCCATTGCTTAAGCTTCTACCCACGACGGGTCCACGAACAGGCGAGACCTTTTCCAGCTAATGGACTTTCTTCACAGTCCTGTCTCTATAAGCCGTCCCAGCGGGACTCGAACTTGTGTGAAACGTGTCCACAACCAAATCCGCCGTTCGAAGCAGCCCAAGGCGCTAGAATAAGCGAATAAAAGTTGTGTCTCGAGGAATCTCTTGTTTCATAATTGTTGGGCTTACTTCCATTTCCAGCGAAGGCTTTTGATGAAGAGATTCGACGTTTGATCTCGTTGGAAGATGACGGCAGATTCCTCTTGACCAGCTGTCGATTGACTTTACTGGAAAATTCTTGTTGACGCTGTCTCCGAGGTTGTCTCCTTCGATTTTGGTGTCAAGGTGCTAATCTTTCTCCATCGTATGACAGACATCATCAGAGCAGAGCATGATCCTTACCGCCGGTTTGAAGGCGATGAGTCAAGGAAACTCGCCGGCCCATCGCTGAAATGCCTGTCAGCCGATCGGCCAAAGAGTGGGGGAGCGCAAGGATGCTTTTAATGGAAGCTGGGTTCAAGGGTCAGAGGTGACGGAAGACATGACGGAAACTGGGCATGCGATAGAATGGTCTTGTACGCAGAGGTTTGCGGATTATGGAAGATAAGAGAGGCCATTAAAATTAAGAAATTAAGAAATAGGTTGAAGGTGAAGAATGTTGGTACAAAGATGAGTATGAATTAGTCATGCTTGATTGAAAGAGTGAAAGTGAGAGAGGCTGTTGAGCCGCCGTCCAAAAGAAGACGACTCAACTTGTCGGCTGAGTGGTGCTCGACAGGCTTGGCAACCGCATCGAGCGAAACAGACGTACGAATCTCCGCAATCCCAGCCAACATTCTCCTCGTGCCATTCAACCTTAATAACTCAGACTAACGGGTTATGACGGGCGGTTTTTTAGCCTGAAATATCATCAATTTAACCAGGATTATATGCAAAATAAGTAATATAGTCAAGTGTTACAGCAAAAATATATGTTTGCTTCATCGACAGTCGCAACAAACAATGTGATATTGTGAAACTGCTGGCATTCCTTGAAATTCCCATCTGTCCTATGACCCAATGGCAATCGTGGCAATGTGGCCGAGTTGTTAACGTGTCAAGCTCACATGCATGGACATGTCACGGTTCGACTCCGGCTGGGGACGAAACTGCAGTCCACTCCAGCCGGGATGAGAACAACTTTTGTGGAAGCAAGGCTCTGTAAAATTGGATTGAAACGTCATCAGATTGTGGGACAATTCTACTACCAGTCCTGCATCACCTTAAACGAAATAAGGAGGAATACATGTCATATTACTGATTTACAGCTAGTCTCGAAACTCTACTTACATACCAACAATAATCAGGGTTACTAACGGACTAACGCAAACTAATCCTTGGGTCATTAAGCTCTGATTAAACTGGGCTGATGTTGAGCTTTTTACTAATTATTCTAAGTTACGACATGGATTTGCGTACAGACGTAAACATATATGCACACACAGACACACAAGAGTATACGTGGATTAACAAACCATTTCTATATTCATCTATATCATAAATTCGGCTCTGCCGCGAAATGAAAGTATGTGTATATATTATATAAAAAAAAGCCTGTTAATCTTCTTCACTTTGTGTTAACCTGAGGCATTTGCAAGAACATGTTCCAGCTCTGACGATATTTGCAAAGTAACAAACGAAATCTCAGCCCGTCTTCGTCCGAAACGATAAAGGATGTCAAACGGCCGCAGTACAACGTGAATCAGTCGACGCCTTCTGGCGAGTTTGACCTACGAATCTCTTCATCAACTACTTCCATACGAAATGAAAGTCTTCACTTCAAACATTCAAACAACACAACCTGCATTCATTTACTGAGTAGATGTAGACAAGAATCAAAGTTCTGACTACTAATAGGAATTTAGTAGTATATCATGTTTACAACAAACAAACGTAGGCTTGGCCTTGTTTTCATAACTTGGTCATATTGGTAGGCACATAGTCTGGAGTCCATTGTCTGCATCATCATTTCCAGAGTAGGACCGTGGACGTGGTACATTCACAGACGTCTCGCCGGCATCGTCAGTGAATTTTATAATTCTTAGCACCATACTACAATTATGTAAATGTACCCAGTCCACGGTCCGACTTTGGAAATGATCATGCATACAATGGACTCCGGACAAGATACGCTGCTCTAAGTCTTCCTACCAACATGACTAAGTTGCGAAAACAAGGTCAAGCCTACATTCGTTTGCTGTAAACTTGATATACTACTAAATTCCTTTTAGTAGTCAGGACTCTGATTCTTGTCCACATCGACTCAGCGAATGAATGCAGGTTGTGTTGTTTAAATGTTTAAAGTGAAGACTTTCATTTCGTATGGAAGTAGTTGATGAATAGATTCGTAGGCCTAATTCGCCAGAAGACGTCGACATTCCTCTAAGTTTTCCTACCAAAATGACCAAGTTGCGAAAACCAGGTCAAACAACTTTTATTCAACGAAAGGAGACCGCGACCATACAAAAGGTCGCATTATCTTGGTCTTCATATCTTCTAGTACGTAGGCTTAACTCATCGTGAGAGTCAAGTCTGTCTCGTAACTCTACTCCGACGGATCCGTCGAGCTGCAGAGGAGACGATGGTGAGACGAGGTGGAAACTGTAGCCCAGCACGGACTGGAATAGTCTTTTGGAAGATGGCGACATACTTTCCAAGTTAGCCTTGTTTGTGCGCAGATTCGCCATCAATTCTCGTGGCTGGACTGGAAAATGCTCGTGACAGCCGAGCCCAACTGAGTTCAAATTAACTTGCATTTAATTCACAATATTCCAGTACTCATTGAATTAAATAAACTTTTTCGCCCATTTGCCGAATTGTAGTGCAATTTACTGTTTTTTCTCCAAACCCCTCTTTTAGAGCCCTTTCCTTCCGAGT